TTCAAAATATATCTCAAAAACATTATAAATCCAAATATATATATATATAATTCCTTTATAATATATTAATAATATTGGATTAAACAAATAAAACAAAAATACTTAAATATATCGTTTTTTGTTGTGAATGTATAATAGGTGTATTTTTTAAAGATATATCCTTTTAGGTAGATATCGCTAAAAATAATCAAACAATATATTCCTATTTATATTTATTCTATTCGATTGACACGAACATATTTTTAATCAATTCTCATCGATGGTTCAATAATTGCTCGATACCTTCCAGCCAGCATATCAACATGTAATTAAACATTCGAAACACCAACGCTTTGACTCAAATTACTCTCTCCGCACCTGGAATCAGGAGCTGCCAACAAGTCTTCTCGTTTTCCCTCCTTCACAGCCCATGTCAGAAGGTGCATCCGATAATTGAGACGACTCAACACAAACCCTTGGTAGGTGCAGTACGACAAGACCCAAGTCATGTTGTAAGCTAAGCATCGGCTTCTTGGATGGCTTGTAATTCTTCTTGTCATGTTTCGGTCCGTGAAAAACCGAAAAGCAAGACCTGAACGCTGCTGCAATGAGACCCCACCCTCCCTGATTGGTGGGGAAACCACCCTTCACTGAAAGACTTGGTATTGAAACATGTTGAAGCCAATGAAAGACCCAAAGAGGGACTTCTGTGCTCACTTCTCTTTGCTAATGCATCCCACAGAACGGTGCTCCTCCACCACCGTTCCTCCGTCCAGCACGACAATGCGATGAGCCCTGCGATGCTGAACTCACCAAAAGACCCCCAACTGTAACACAAGACCACGACATGGGGGACATGTTCTTTCAACATGCCATGCTTATATAACGTTTTTCTATTATATAAATACTGACAACACGAGATGGTAGAGACACTACTGCAATCAAACACCAGCACCTTGCAATGCCTTGCAAGGGGTGTCCAACGGAAGGCAAACAACAAGGGTGGAGGACTCCAGGAGCCACAACTTGGGAAGCTGAAGAGATCTACTCTGTCCTTATCACTCTGTTCCCGACAAGCCCTTGACAAGCATGATTTGGTTGAAGACCCTGGAACACCTCCCCGTGTTTGTCACTCTTTCACGAGTCTTCATGTTCCAGGAACCCACGCCATCCATTCCCTGACTCGCCCATCGCACCCGCCTTGCTACCGTGCGCAAGCGATGAGCAGCAACCTGGGTGAGCGGGGGACCCGATGGTCAACCACCCTAAGGCCCAAGAGGAAAACGATTTGACTTCACGGAGATGGGCAACAACGTCCAATGTAGAATCTTGATTCATAAACCTTCCCATTGTAAAACCTCTTCAATCCTTTTCATATCTTTATATATGGGGCTTGAAATATGATCAATGATTCTACATTAGACATGGATCATGCCTATGAAATTGGGCTCCTTTGTTGACGACCATTGTCTCAAAAAAGTCCCGGTTTTGCTGCCATCATCTTGATCCGATTACATTTTGCTACCTGACCGATCACATCGCGTCGCAGCTTGCACCTGACTGAGGTGGAGGCCAAAACGGCATGCCCTTCGCTGGCCAATTGAGTCAAAGTGCTGGCAACGGCCTCCTAATGGGAGAGACTTGAGAGACCCAGGGTGAGACCCCGGTCGATTTCATTCAATTTGGATTCCGAAGAAAGACATTGGATATCATTGGATTGAATCAAAAGCAAGCAGTTTCCTTTTAGATAGGCGACTGGCGAGGCCATATGGCGGACTAAAAATACCAAAGCACAAACATGCGTAAAAGAACAATTCTGATTCCCAGGACAAAGGTTTTTTGAGTCACGCTGATGAACGCTGATCCTCTTCCATCAGAATCCCATCTGTCTCGAGCTCCACAAGTAAATGAAAGAAACTGCACAAGAAGGCTCCCTGCATCCATAGTGGACAAAATACATCGAACAGAACCATGAGAGAAGCAAAATCTTCAATCAGGTTTCTCTTCCATCTTCGAATCCTTCAATGCTTGCGGTGTCTTCATGCGTCTTCATGTGTCTTGGTTTACAAGAGCGGACACAGTCCTCTGACTCCCCATCAAGAGCGGACGTGGGCTCATCCATCAGCAGCACAGGAGCTCCTGAGCCATCCAGGATGCCATCCTCTTGAAAACATGAGCAGAACACAGCAGACCACGCAGCCCTTTTAAATACAATGGAGGCCTTTTATTCTTCCATGACACAACCAGGACTTCATGTGGGGCGTGGACGTGGACGAACATCTCTTTGCGCCAATGTCCAAACACTAACACAACAGCCTTTCAATGCACCCCTCAAACCATGGTCGCTCCACTCCTCTTGCGATGGCTCTGGCGATCGCAAGCCTCAGAGTATCAGTTGAAGCACGTGGATCAGTTCTCACACTTTGAGTCTACACACCACAGTTTTATGAAGAACTCTTCACCATCAAGTCATAGAATGTTGTAGATACTCAATACTGCCTGATTTACAAGGTGACGTGGGTTATAGGTCTGTAACTGTTCACCTCCAGGTCTGACGTCGTTCGCGTTGCGTTGCCCTTGCAGCGAACACCGCGTCCAAAAACCGTCCTACTCCAGGACGTGTCCACTGCCCCACCTTCTTTATCCTGCTTTTGTTGCCCACACCGTTGCTCAACAAAACAAAACACAATGAAGCAAGTGTTTTGGTGAACAGCTTCAGAACAACCCACCATTCTGTGGCGCAACTTGAGGGTGCCAAACATGACGGGCCTAGAAGGCGGACGAACGAACGGTCACGCTCGTCGTCGGTCGGTCGGCGACCTGTCGAGGGCGGTGCCTGGCCTTTGTCGCTGACCGCCTGAGAGTGCAGAACCCCTCTCTCCCAGCAGCTTCTCTGCAGGTAACACCTGGCAGAACTGGCTTTTCTTGACGAAAAACCGTAGCTTTTTTTGAACATCAAGTTTAAATCGCACTGTCCAATCTGTCCGCCTGTTCTTGTTTAGTGGTGAAATATGTGGAAATACCAATTCCCCAAAAAGGTTTCTGCAGGTGATCCCATTTTCCCGGGTTCTCTTTTTGCCCCGTCGTCTGGCGGAACCGCACTGGGAAACGTTCAGTTCGCACCTGGAACATAGTGCTCACCTACTTGTTTGGTGGAAAACACTGCCCAAACCACATCAAACCTCAGAGGAACATGGTTTTGATGGGGGGAATATGGGGGAATCTTAATCCCAAACTGGGCCTCCTCACTCCTCTGAAAAGCAGGCCAAATGCCGGCACTGACTCCTTGATGACTCTCAATGCCTTCGTCTTCGTCTTCAAGTGGCTTATAGTTCAATCATGTTCAAACCGTCAACAACACTAATAGATTCAAAAAAGAATTAGATCAACCAGGCATTTTCGGGTTCTGACATGTTGACATGTTCTGAGGAATGCGTTGGAGAACCTGATGGGAAGAGGTGCTAGTCACGAGGCACCGTGAGCGGACAAAAGCTTGAGGCATAATGAAACTACGCCTATACCGAGCGCCAGGCAAGGTGCCAAAAAGCTTCACCGCACTCTTGGCTCAGTCACCAATGAACATCTAGTTTGTCTCGAATCGCTTTTTTTCCAGGCGACCAACGCCGCCGTGGTGTTTTCTGAAATCCATCGACCAAACCGACATCTCGGTCGACGTGCTTCGACGCGTTTTCTCCGGACGAACCGGGCATGTTCGATGAAGGACAGAGGAGTCTGATCGGTCTGACGGTCTCGAATGACCGCCTCTACAAAAGAAGTTGCTTGTGCAGCTCCCAAAGCAGCCCTCACTCTTTCTGCCTGACAACTTCTGGAACGCGTTTGAACAAGCGAAGTGAGGAACAAAAGGAACAAACAACAGGTTCTTCATGGTTCTTCCCGAAGTTTGGTGCTGTTTTCATGGAGATCTCCCCAGTTTTCAGTTCTGCAGCTCTACCATGCCTTGCCTATAGTCCGTCCTGAATGATCTGAATGGTGAACCATTGACGACAAGTTGTGACAGTCATTTGTTTGTGAATCCCTTACATTAGGACTCAAGCTACACTCTAATGCGACACCCTAGATACCAACACCGAATTGTTTTTGAATTACACATCACTTCCATCCATGTTATGTAGAACAACAATGAAACATACCAAATCATACCAACGTGTTCAATTGGACAAGATCAGGAATCTCCAGTTCAGCCACGTTCGGGTCCCTTACCCTTAGGATCCCTTAGGAATTGCTTGGTCAAAACACATCAAAACACATCCTCCCTTGCTCCGTCACATCCCCCGTGCCTCTTCTTTGTCATTGGCAAAGTCACATCCTCTCCGTTCGGCACGGACGATCGATCACTTCAGCCACGAATTCCGCAGCAGGCTGATGCCAAACGCTGAGGCTTGGACCATAAGCCACGTTGTCCACCACGGTCCGATCAAATAGAGCTGGATCCTGAGAACCAGAAGAACCAGAGCTTGGCATGGTTCAGAACGAGCCGACATGTTGCTCGCAAGAAACACGACATCGATGTTGCTCGAACAAGAGAGACCGGTCATTATACCGTCATTGGGGGGTTTGGACCGACTATACTATCGCAAAAAACCGGTGATCCTGGTCGACGACTCCCAGGCAACGTCGCACGTCCTGGGCGGGTGGGTCGTACGAGCGAAGCGCACCCCGTGCGTGGCCGTCCGTGACCGGGTGTCTTTCGTGAGGATCGACTAGTCGGTTGTTGTGGGGAAGAGTCCATAGTCTTTTTCGATTTGAGCCCAGAAAGATTTGTTCAGATGTGTTCAGTATTTGTCAAATGAATACTGGTGGACGAGATAGTGTGGGAATGTGATGATAGGGAATGGCTCCGGTGAGGAAAACACCGGGCATGTCTTTTCAGCCCCCTACTCAAGTCGTGGCTGGACTCGCCAAAAGAACATGTGGAGAACTGGTGAAAGAACTAAGTCGTCGCGGCTGTGCACCCAATCTATGCTTATATCACCTGTTTTTATGGAATCTGCAGCAATTCTGCAGCAATTGGCACGGCGTGGTCTGTTAGAATGATCTTCCGCGATTCCGTAACATTTGTGCAGCAATGCTCTTTGGGTGATTCTAGCGATTCTGGTGGATTACAGTAAAGCACCTCGAAAAGCTGGTATGCTACCTACTATAGGTGCTAGTCATTTCGACTGATTGGAAACGGTTTGGTCATCTGAAGCGTGCGCAAATGTGTGCAGTGTCGGACAGTTTGCCCATATGCGCGCATTCCTTGGGCCTTCGCGCACACGTTTCTCACCCCGACTGAGTCAGTGCTTCAAACAGTGCTTCCAACAGCAACCCGACTTGGACGGTGTCAACGAGTCGCGAGTCGCGTGTCGCGTCCAACGGTCCTTGAGATCAATATCTCGAAGGTCATGCCCATCGATGCGCACGGAACCCTCCTGCGACGATGTGCGACGATGTGCGACGCCGCGACCCAGTCCACGGTGTCGTCCGGTGAGCAGAAGAGTGTCGGACGAACATGGAAGAAATATGAAGACATGGCCAAAGAACCGGACTATGTCCAGCTCTTGACTTGTTGACTTTGATTTTGGGAAGTCGGAGCACTCTCTTGAGACTCTGCGTTGCTTTGGAAAAATGGTGGCTCTCATCTACGTTGCCTTCTTTTTCACACCCACAATTCCGGTTGACATACATTTGGCACTCCAAATGTATGTATACACAAAGTAGGAGGCCATCGCTATTAGGTTGGAGGCGCTATCAGGTTGGAGGCCATCGCTACTAGGGTGGAGGCGGAGGTAAGATATTTAACAGAAAGGAGCGCTCTGAGCGGCGCGTTTTTGCATTGTTTCATTTTGTTTGTATTTTGTTTCTATATTTGTATTGCGTTTCTATTGATTTTTGTGCCACTGAAAGAATACTATTCTGCCTCAACCCCCCCCCTCCCCCAAAGGCAATTTCCAAAATTCCAATTTTCCAAAATTCCAATTTTCCAAAATTCCAATTTTCCAAAATTCCAATTTTCCAAAAAAACCAAAGAAACCAAAAAAACCAAAAAAAACAATTGTGCCAGGACTTTGCCTCACCCCCTCTTCCCCCCATGGTCTGTGCAGAATTGGTTTTTTTGGTTTTTTTGGTTTCTTTGGTTTTTTTGGAAAATTGGAATTTTGGAAAATTTGAATTTTGGATTTTTTGATTTCCTGGGATGTTTTAAATTTTCAATTTCCTTGGAAGTAGACAATGCTACCACTTTCTCTCATTTCCAGAACAGTCTCTGAAACCCTCAGTGATTTGTTCATTAGGGTCTAATAATGCTCCTTCTGCTCCTTTAACTCGAAAATTGGTAATACCTGACATTTTAGAATTATAACCAGTAAAATTGACATCTGCAATTTTTTCAAATGACATACCAATAATGAATTTGTTCTTTCTGTATTGACGATACGAAAAACTTAAACTGTCATGTACTGTATAGCTCTTCTTAAATAGTAAAAGATTTATGATAATGATTGCGCTTCAAATTCTGTGTATTTCTGGGAATTGCTTAATTGAATTTGCCAACTTAAACTACGGGTGGCATCTTGAAAACCTTTGTAACTTGTAAGTCATTTGTATCAGCATTACCAGTATCATTAATTCTTCCATAGATCATAGGATTAATTCCATCTCTTATATACATAATTGTCAGGTAAGTATCGGTTCAGTTCTTCACCACTCCTTGGAGTTCTAAATAAGGTAATGAATGCTCCAGTCAGTTTAGAAGATGATTTTACAATATTCATATTAATTTCACCACCACCAGCATTGAATGTTTGGGTGATTGTGTGATAACAATTTGTAATGTTTCTTATCTTTGCCATTCCGCCCCCTTCTATGTCCTGCCATTCTAACACTCAATGGCTGACAAGTAGCACCAATATAGACATCGTCATTTTGTCATTTAGTATTCTGTAAAATTTTGCCTTGGAGTAATCCACCATAACATTACATATTTTAACTAAGTTTAAATGTTGTTTTAAATGAGTGATTGGGGTTAAATCCATTGCTTATATTGGTGCCGGGATTGATGTTCCAAAGGCCGTTCCCTTCAAAATTGATATAGCTGTGGCTCATTAAAGGGTTAGGTTCTTTCAAATCAGAAGTTACAGCGTAACCATCCAACATTTAAACAATATCGGATGGATTGCGGTAGTCAAGTCTTTTGGGACTTTTGTTCCTTTCCTTTTTTTTATTGTAGGGGTAGCATAGGTTGTTGTAGCAAATGTATTAGGTTGTTCTTGATTGATCTTATTACAGCACTTGCAAGGTTATGCCCAACCAAACGGGTTATTTCTGGTGACTTTTCCAATTCTTCTATAACATGTTTGTATTGCTCACTGTGATGAACATTTCTAGTAGGTACTAATAACAGATCATCCATAATATCCCTTGTTAAAGATCCATCACAACCACCTGTGCCACTTATGTATAAAGTCTTACTTGTTTTGTAAAAAGCACTTGGTGATGAATAGGCATTCCATAAGCCCCTGCGGTCTTCTATCTTCTCCTTGTTTGCTATATTTTTCTCTTCAGCATATAGTGTTCTATGTTGTTTAAAGTGATCATTTAAGTTTCTTGTAAAGTCATTCATTCTATCATTCCAATTTTGTTTTTTTTCATAATCACTGTAGGTTTCTTGACCGATCTTACTGAATAACATCTGGGCGCTTCCAGGCAGATCCTTCCAGGCAATGTCAGACACATCAATCATTCTCAAGAAAAAAAAATTAAAAAGGTTGAAAAATGCTCATTTTCATCGAAAAACGCGCCGCTCACAGCGCTCCCCTCTCATATTTAAACAGCAAAGGTAGCACCCCCGTCACCTCCACCATCCACTCTTCAGACTTTCGCATCCTCTCTGAAATCAGACCTCCGTTGGTCTCACCCGCCCTGCCGTGCTTGCCCACCTGTGGATCTGCTAGGCGGGCACACAACTTCAGCAGCGTGGACTTGCCGGCGCCACTCGCCTTACCCAAAACGGGTCTGGTCTGTTGAAATCAACAAGTTGAATTCTAATTTAATAAACAATATCTTTAATGCTCACTATATATTCAGTACACTGTCCAATTTTGTGATGATGATATCATATATGATTATGTTTCAATTGGTCCAACCGAAATGGGACGGCCCTAAAGATGAGGATCTCTGGTGTTGGGGTTCGGTTCATCATGATCCATCTGCAGGCTTCCAGGTTCGTTCGACTTCCATCGCTAGGTGAATACTTCCATTCTCGGAGCAGGTTTTGCTGACAATGCAAACCTTTTCATTTGGGGGGTGACATATAATCAAGAATCTACATTACTGTAGGAAGACTTTTGACAATCTCGAAATGTTCTGTCCTAAATCCAACAGAAAGACTGAGAAGCAAGGAACCACAAAATAGTACCTGCCTTTCGTTTCTGCCGAAAAACACACATATACAACTCATCTCAACAAACCGCCAAACTGACCAGCTTTGCAGTCCGAAAGTGACGAGCTCCGAGTAAGTGCAGCAAAGCTGCCCCAACCAAAGCCACCACTTCACCAGGCTTCACACCGAAGCTGACGTTCCTGATGGCCCAGCAATCCTGAAGAAGATCTGTTCCGGATGGCCCGGCTTGCTCGTCCGGATGCTTTGTAAGTGGAAGAGTCAGTGATGCTTTCTAAGAAGTGGAACATCACACTTCACCTTCATGATGATACGTAGTCGTACTCGAACTGATCATCTAGATGATGCTAGGAACTTTGCTACAAGTCCCAAAAGAGGCTGGGAAGCGGATCTCGGTTGTTTTTTGGGATGTTGGGATGAGTCACCTGGGGTCTTTGACAGTTTGTAACGAACCAAGTGGTCCAACTGGGTCTGACCCTGAATGTCTTCACTGTCATCCGCGGCTGGACAGTCCAGGCTCCTCTTCTGCTCCAGCATACCGAAATCCAACGCCATGGAGCTCCAGTTGACCACTGACCTCAGGAGCCACATGAAATTTCCGCCTCTGCTAGACAAGACATGCCATGAGCTTATTTGAAGTTCGTTCCAAATCGTGATTTCCGGAGCAAATTTCAGGGTCATCAGTCGGATCTCAGTAGGATCTCCAAGACCATCCATCCCTCCCTCCGTTCGAATCACGGTTCCGTGGAAAACGGCCTGTTAGAGGAAAACAGTCTTCGGTGCTGGGATCGTGTTCCGAGTCTCCAAGAAAGGTAGATACTGGAGACTGTATCCAAGGGGTTTGTTGGAGTCTAGCGGTCATGTTCCAAAGGACCTCAAGAGGATACTGTTCCACTTTCTTTCTCTAATCTACCTTCCAAAGACTAAAGTGTAACTACCTCGAGCTTCAAGAACCTATAAAATGATAGGTTCAATATGAAGACATCGTGTCTTTATCAGAATTCAAGAAAACATCGACTATTGAGAAAAAAAACATCGTGTTTTTTTGAAACCAGAGAAATCCCTATATAGATGCAGGATTTGTGATCATTTTTATCTCTTTCTATCCCTCCGTGCCGTCTACACGCAGGCTGATCTCTGCCCTTTGACGAGATTGCTGGCCTAACATGATCACCGCCGCCCAGGAACATGTGAAGTCACATTATACATGTTGGGCAGCAAAACATTTTTTTACAATGGTTCTTTGATCCAAATCACTTCACATGTCCTGACCCTTGATTTATACACTGCCTCCTCATTGGAAACAAACGTGTATGCAACAGCTCACACCCTTCGATCCCAGCCCGTGGATCGCAGCAATGGACTTTTCCAAGCAAATGGAGCAGGCGTGATCTCCTGCGCAAAGATGTTTGAAGACGGAGTTGCTTGAAAGAAGTGTGCAAACATGCTTATACTGAGTGCGTCAAGTGTACCACGTGTACATTTTACAGAGAAGATGTGCATAATTGTGCATTTATATATGCAGGTGTGGGTGAGAGGGATTTAGAACGCGTGATGCCTGCCCTCCCCTTTCAAAGATTTTGGCCCAGAACGCGTGTCCAGTGCTTTTGATTTAAATAGGCAGTGCAATGTCGTCGGAGAGCCTGGACTCTACCAGAAAGCTTCCGCTGAATGATTTGGCGACTGAGTGGGAGGCCGAGAAGGTGATCAGGGACCACTTGAAAGGTGACAATGCTGTTTTGTTTCCTGAGAATGTATCGGAATCTGTCAAGGCAGCAGCCGAGCCTTACATCCACACCTTGCTTGTGCCTCTTTTGACGCGAATGTCATGCATCCCAGGGTCCCCACAGCCAGCAGTTGACCCCTTGAGGGAGCAGCTATCTTTGCTGTATCACAATTGCTCGAAAGCAAAGGGCGCGGACGATGAAGATGTAGTCCGCGATTCGTGGATGGTGCGCAAATTTCTCGGACTGGTCAAGATGAAGTGCAGGGTCGGCAAACCTTCTAATGTCATTTGGATGCAAAGTGAAACGAAACATTGTACATATACAGATTTTAGTTCATCATGCTTTATATCGCCGCTCTTGCAAATGGTTTCTAAGCTTAGCACCAAGCCATCTGCATGGAATATGTGTGCATGCTCTTTGTGCTTGCTCCATAAAGCCACAAAATAGACCTCACTGAATTGGTGAGTCCGAGGACCGGCGATTCCAGCAGCTCTGCTTGATTCTCAAGCCAGAGTTGGAGGAGTCAGCGTGCGCATTCTGTGTTCACACACGGACCCACATACTATATACAGCCACATCATTTTGTTTAAACTTATTGATAGCGGTGCAGTCCCATATCTATGAAGCAGGGTCTCCCATATATCAACACACGTGCACAGGAGATGATCGATGGGATCAACCGGAAGCAGGACGAGAAGCGCGCACGCCGATTGGCCATGAAGGAGACTTGGACTGTTTTCCATCGCCTTGATAAAACCTGTCTTCTAAAGCACGCTATGCAAGAAAGGCTTTATACATAAAGGCATAAATTTGTAATATTAAATCCCGGGCACCCACAACCGTCTATATATATGCAACATGAAATGGTCTCCAGCGCACGTCGCAGGCAACTTCGGCTGACGATGCTGACAATGACGCTGATGCATATGATTCCTCTTCTTCGAGTGAGGACTCTGACGTTGAAGTGGTTGAAGAGGTGGTAGGGGTGGACATACCAGATGTTCCCACAGCCTCAGCACCTGTCCCTGCTTCAGGGAATGTGGAAGTAGCGAAACCCAGTGAACCTTCTACGCCCGCCCCTGCCGCTGCCACAGATGTGGCTTCCGCCGCGGTTGCAGCCCCATCAAATCCGCCTTCTGTGAGCCACCAAGGTGTGAAGGGAAATTCGGGGGTGACAACTGACAACGTACAACCTTTATAAATTGGGGTTTCCAGGTCGATGCGTGTTCAACAAGTTTTCTCTGTGTATGCTATATATAGCGCTACGCCTCATTGTCAGTGGTTGATTGTTTATATATATATATATATAGTATATAGATAAGGCCTGACGAGTGCAACGAGGTGAGGAATGTAAACTGTATAGAAATTGTCCTGCAGCACGTTGACGTTATATAGTTCAATGTGATGGACTTAAAAAATTGTGCAAATGTGCGCCCACATTTGCGCAGCGTGTGTGGAGGTGACAACAACCAAGCGGAACAGCGAGAGAAAATTCTGAAGCGGCTGGCAGAGTTCAGGGCCCAGTCTTTTGTGTTTCCAAACAACTTTAAAGCGTATATGGAAGTCATGCGCAGGGTGTATAGTGTTTTGCTGTATCATGCACTGTGCCGGCTTTAGGTTTTCACGATTTGGATTCATAATTTTGTTGAGGATTCAATCCCAGAAGAAGGCCTTGGTTGAAAAAGCTGCCTTGCAGCCGGTCGACAAGTCCATCCCAGGCACGGAATATATGGGAAAAATGCCTTCTGGAATGACAAAGGTGCCCCAAACAAACTTATGGTGGTTCAGCCAGCCGTGGCATTATAGCATTTCTGATGTTCAAAATCACCACCCCAGCACTCATGCCTATATAGAACAAGTCCTGTACGCATGCATGCGCGTGAACCTTCTCATATATACCATGGTGTGGCAGGTCCCACTGGTCCCACTGGTTCAACCGTGGATGTGATGGAGACCCTTCCAATGGATTCTTTGGAGATTGAGGAAGCCGCTGCTGTGAATGCTGCTCCCCGAGCGGTTCCCTTGGTGGCATCACGTGGCCTGTCACCAGAAAGCCTTCGTGTTGAGTACCGCCGTTGCTCGGGAAAAGAGCCAGGTGAAGGGACAGCTACGGTTGTTGGAACTGCCCCGACACCCCCGATGACCTCTCCTCCCAATGCCACGGTGGCAGCTGCAGAAGTTGCCGCATCACCTCCGGCGCCGCTTCCAGAGAGGGTGTCTGAGGATGGGGTTATGAAGAACACAGGTAAAGTTTTGCTGTTCATGCGGACGCACACGGTCGTCCACACCCACACCTCCAACCATTCGCTTGCAGGCAATATAGCAAACAAAAGACATTAGGTTTACAAACTGGCCTAAATAGTATAGACTGACAGCAAATTCCTATATATCACACGATGAGTAATATGATGCATGCATGCATTCATATCTATGTGCCGGATACTTCGTGCAACATACTATAACGCACGCATATGTATGCATGAGCATGTTCTCGTAATTCACGCTGCACTCACAGATGCGTACCTTTTCCACCCTCAAGTTTGTATGTGGCTTTGACTTGACAGGCAGGCCATGCGCAAACACTATCATGCGTATATATATATATATACACATGGACACTTGCAAGACTTTATGTTTGCGCTTGCTTATAGACGACAGAAAAGAGACGTGGACAATAACTTATCAGTCCAAGTTGTCGTCTATCGCGTTGCCACTTGTATACATTCCCCTGTTTCCATGTCCTTTTTGACTCACGCTCCTCAGGAAGCGCAGCGCAAGGACGAGAACGGCACCATCCCAGCAGCACATGGCACCGTTGGCGCAGATGCAGAGGCAAGCGGCGGCAAGCATGCTGCATCCCACGAACCGGTAAAGACTGAAGCAGTTGGTGGCCAGAGTTCCAGCTCTCTCCTTCAGTCTGCTGAATTTGTGTCACGACATGAGCAGCTGAGCTTCAAGAAGGACAAAAAGGGCAAGAGGAAGAATGGAAAGGATACAAAGGCGAAAGCCAAGGGAAAGAAACGTGGCAAAAAGGCAAAGAAGGCACCAAGGAAGGGCAGGAAGACACGTGCTTCGGCTTCTTCATCTGGCCAGAAATCAGCTGGATCTTCCGCAACGAGGTCAAAGACATCCCGCAAGCGCCAGCTCCTGAAGAGGGCGTCTTCGAAGCTTGTGGAGGGCGACGGTGAGATGCATGAAGAGGAGGTTGAGGAGGCTCCAGTTGAGTCAGAGGCAAAGAAGGGACGTCGAGGCAAAGGTAGGAAGTCAGCCAAGGTTGAGCCAGCCCATGAGATGCCTTTGGAACCTGGCCAGTCTGAGGCTGAGGTGGAGGGTGTTCCGAAGCGGAAGCGGGGCAGGCAGCCTGCAGCAAAGTCAAAGGCGGACTCCAAGACGATCAAGCCCAAGGCGGCCGCCAAGAGCAAGGCCAAGGCCAAGGCCAGAGCGACCAGATCTCGACGCCAAAGCCCCATTGATGACATGCTGGAGAGCCCCTTGCGATGCAATACTGTCATCTCAGGCTTGATCGATTGGACTCAGCCGTTCGCCCCTGAGCTGGATACGCCCGGCCACGAAGAGGCGGTGAAAAAGTTGGTGCGAAGCAAGCTTGGACCTCTCAAGACTTGCAAGTTGAACATTTACTGGACGAGGAACGCATGCGGTGTGAGCGTCACGGAGGATGGCAAGAAGACGAAGGACATCAATCACTTCAGCTGGAATGGTAGCACAGCAGCCCCACGGCATAAGCTTGCTGTCGCGGTCCGTTGCGCTGAACTTGCAGCCCCTTGGCAGGAACACCTCAATATATAGACTATATAGGACATGAATATACACTTACACATGAGAATGGCAA